ACCCGTCATCTTTACTCTATTATTGAATTAGAGTCTAACATCATTGATTTTAATTTTACTGAATATAAATAGCAACCCTATATTCTATGCATACTGTTTTGACTGTGGCATTTATTTAGAGAAGAATGGAGACAAGATGGTTCCCCAATTTAAAGGAAACTGGAAGTGTTCTGGGGAAACAAATAGAGAAGGTAAGCCTTACTGGTTTCTCCTTTGGATGACAACCATGGTCTGCTCTTATAAATAGAAAGCCCTTTTTGAGTTATTTCGTTTTGGTAATCTTATCAGCAAACATAAAGCATCATAGGAAAGGCAGGTGAGGATCCAGGTGGGGGGTTTCACCTGCTTCTAGGCATCATTTCCTTCAGCTCTGGTGGGGCACCCCCTTCATCGCTTGGGCTTATTGCAAGATGGCTGGGTCATTTCTTTTTTTTTTTTTTTTGAGACGGAATCTCACTCTGTCACCCAGGCTGGAGTTCAGTGACATGGTCTCGGCTCACTGCAAGCTCCGTCTCCTGGTTTCACACCATTCTCCTGCCTCAGCCTCCTGAGTAGCTGGGACTACAGGCGCCCACCACCACACCCGGCTAATTTTTTTATATTTTTAGTAGAGACGGGGTTTCACCGTGTTAGCCAGGATGGTCTCGATCCCCTGACCTCATGATCTGCCCGCCTCAGCCTCCCAAAGTACTGGGATTACAGGTGTGAGCCACCGTGCCCAGCCGGGTCATTTCTTTTTGAAGTTAGGAATAAGATGAAAGGGTTGAAAGCCAAGTTTATTTAAATGGATTTTACTTGTTGCTCACTTTTTCTTCTGGACTGCTCCCTTAGTTCTGTGACCCATGTTTTGGTGAAGTCATGATGACACATGGATACCCTGCCTCATGAGCGCTGGTGTGACTTCTGTCTTCTGTTCTTACCACTGGACATGATGGCTTGATGAAGTCAGGCCACCTCGCTCTTCTGTGCTCTCAGTTCCATCTTCTCAACTCGGGAAGCCTGCCAAGGTCCTTACAACATCACAGCAGTAAACTTGGGCAATAGCGGGCTTCACTCACATCTTCGTTGTGTATTTCCAGGTATCGCTGTTCTGCATCATTTGGTGTACACCAGTTTAAAATAGTTTCATACTCTTTGTCCATTGTTGTGTTTATGTGTGGTAAGGCATGTCCAATTCCTATTAGTTTTTCCATAACATCTTGATTCATTCCTCCTGAAAATTCTCAAGGATCACTCCATCCCTGGTTATATGCTTCTTGATCACAACGTAAAGGAGAATAAAGACCAGTTCAGCTCAACTCACAGGGAGACAGATCATTTTATTGGCATTTGTAATGCTAAAGAGAAGGTCAGAATTGGCCAGTGTACCGTACCTGTACAAGTTTCCACTGGGGACATCCACGAGAAGTCAGTGAATCAAACATTTAAAATGGATAATATCTCTAAAAAAAGATACTGTCTCTGTCAATTATAATATTTGACACTTAATAGCCTTGTTTTATACTCATTGAAAAAGCCCTTCAGAATTGGTAAGATGTAACTTTTATTTACATAAAAAGGAAAGCAGTGTGGAAATGAATTTGTAAATGAGTTTCTAAGGATACAGTGGCATTCTAGTTTTTCTGAATCAGATCTTGATCCAGAGCCATATATATCTTAACATCACTCTGTGAAATGAAGAGTGATGTGAGCGAAACATTTCCTAATACAAGAGGCATCATTGTCTGTGTGATTTCCAACTTCCCTGTTGACACCCAGTATTGATCTCAACTTTAAATTAACTGTGCTCTGAGAATAGATGTTTATGATTTCTATTATCTTAAATTTGTTCAGGCTGGGCGTGGTGGCTCACGCCTGTAATCCCAGCACTTTGGAACGTTGAGGCTGGTGGATCACTTGAGTTCAGGAGCTTGAGACCAGCCTGGTCAACATGGTGAAAACCTCTCTCTACTAAAAATACAAAAATTAGCCAGGTGTGGTGGCGGGCGCCTGTAATCCCACCTACTCAGAGACTGAGGCAGGAGAATCGCTTGAACCCGGGAGGCAGAGGTTGCAGTGAGCCAAGATTGTGCCACTGCACTTCAACCTGGGCAATAGAGCGAGACTCTGTCTCAAAAAGAAAAAATTGATAAATTATCTTTTATGACCAAGAATGTGGTCTGTCTTGGTGAATGTTCCATGTGTTCTTGAGAAGAATGTGTAATCTGCATTTGTTGGACAAAGTCGTCTGTAGATGTCAGTTATACCCAGTTGACTGATGGTGTTCTTTAGTTCAACTGTGTACTGACTTATTTGCTGCCTGCCGGATATGTCCTTTTTAAAAAATTTATTATTATTATCATTATTATTTTTGAGATGGAGTCTCACTCTGTCACCCAGGCTGGAGTGCAATGGCAAGATCTCTACTCACTGCAACCTCTACCTCCCGGGTTAAAGCGATTCTCCTGCCTCAGCCTCCTAAGTAGCTGGGATTACTGGTGCCTGCCGCCATATCCAGCTAAGTTTTGTATTTTTAGTAGCGATGGGATTTCACCACGTTGGTCAGGCTTCTCTTGAACTCCTGACCTTGTGATCCACCCCCCTCGGCCTTCCAAAGTACTGGGATTACAGGCATGAGGCTACCGCGCCTGGCCGTGTCTGTCCATTTTTAATAGAAGGTGTTGAAGTTTCCAACAATAATAGTAGATTCTTCTATTTCTCCTTGCAGTTCTTTCCTAGTTTGACCACTTTTGTTATGTGCATACATTTTTTTTTTTTTTTTTGAGACAGAGTCTCCCTCTGCTGCTCAGGCTGGAGTGCGGTGGCATGATCTCAGTTCACTGCAACCTCTGCCTCGTGGGTTCAAGTGATTCTCCTGCTTCAGCCTCCTGAGTAACTGCAACCTCTGCCTCCTGGGTTCAAGCGATTCTCCTGCCTCAGCCTCCTGAGTAGCTGGGATTACAGGCGCCTGCGCCACCACACCCAGCTAATTTTTGTATTTTTAGTATAGATGGGGTTTTACCATGTTGGCCAGGCTGGTTGAGAACTCCTAATCTCAGATAATCTGCCTGCCTCGGCCTCCCAAAGTGCTGGGATTACAGGTGTGAGCCACCGCACCTGACCAAGAAAGAAATATTAATAGAAGGTCCTGAGTTTGACTCATTCTGTCTCCAGAGTCCTTGCTCACAAGGAGTAGAATATATTTTTTCTCCTATATGGAAGATGTGTTCTAAGTCTAGTTTCAGAAATAATACCCTCTGCATATTGTAAAATTACTGTCTTAAATTAGGTTTTAAATATATTAAATTACTTTTATATTTAGATCTGTGATACACCCGGAATTGATATTTTGAGTAATAGTAATGTGAGCTCAAAAGGCAGATTTTTATTCAGCACCAATGTATATTCAATTTCCTAGAACATTTATAGAAAAATTCATCTTTTCCCCATTGATCTTTCTTTCTTTCTTTTCTTTTTTCTTTTTCTTTTTCTTTTTTTTTTTTTTTTGAGACAGAGTCTCGCTCTGTCACCCAGGCTGGAGTGCAGTGGCATGATCTCGGCTCACTGTAAGCTCCACCTCGCAGGTTCATACCATTTTCCTGCCTCAGCCTCCCGAGTAGCTGGGACTACAGGCACACGCCACCACGCCCAGCTCATTTTTTTGTACCTTTTAGTAGAGATGGGGTTTCACCATGTTAGCCAGGATAGTCTCGATCTCCTGACCTTGTGATCCACCCGCCTTGGCCTCCCAAAGTGCTGGGATTACAGGTGTGAGCCACTGTGTCCGGCCTGATCTTTCTTATTAATTATTTACATACATATGCATTCATTTGTTTTGAGCTCCCTCTTCTTTCTTCATTTCTCTATCTTTGTGCAAATACCACACTGTCTTAATAAGAGACATCATTGAACCCAAGAAGTTTTATTCCAGTGCCTTTTCTATTAACCACTTGTCTATTCTGTAATGATTCATGAGAAAAGTTAAAAGTCTGCGTGCTTTCTACCTATACCAATATGCCCAGCTTAACTTTTGTTTTGTTTTGAGACATGGTCTCACTTTGTTGCGCAGGCTGGAGTGCATGGCGCAATCACGGCTCAATGCAACCTTGACCTCGTGGGCTCCAGTGATCATCCCACCTCAGCCTTGTAAGTTGCTCGGACTACAGGTGTGTGCCACCACACCTGGCTAATTTTTTAAAAAATTTTGTACAGATAAGGTCTCACTGTGTTGTCCAGACTGCTGTTGAGCTCCTGGGCTCAAGTGCTTCTCTTTTTTTTTTTTTTTTGAGACAGAGTCTCGCTCTGTCGCCCAGGCTGGAGTACAGTGGCCGGATCTCAGCTGGTCTCGGCTCACTGCAAGCTCCGTCTCCTGGTTTCACACCATTCTCCTGCCTCAGCCTCCTGAGCTAGCTGGGACTACAGGCGCCCACCACCACGCCCGGCTATTTTTTCATATTTTTAGTAGAGACGGGGTTTCACCGTGTTAGCCAGGATGGTCTCGATCCCCTGACCTCGTGATCCGCCCGTCTCGGCCTCCCAAAGTGCTGGGATTACAGGCTTGAGCCACCGCGCCCGGCCTCAAGTGCTTCTCTTAACTTGGCTTCCCAAAGTGTTGAGATTATAGGTATGAGCCACCACGCCCAGCCCCCAACTCAATTTTGAATAAAAAGGTGTGTTTAGAACATTAGAACATTGGTGTTGCACTGTTGTCTCTATTATTTTGTGAGTCTTGAGTCAACTCTCCCATTATCACTTATGGCAACATTGTTAGTGCATTCTCAGTATTATTTGGTATGTCCTCTCTTTTCCTTTTCTTGCTTTCTGGAGCCTTGGGGACTTTATTTTTTGCTGTACACAGCTTATGGAGGTGGGGACCTTCATAAACCGTCCTGGGTGAGCCAGGCACAGGGGCTCACACCTGTAATCCCAGCATTTTGGGAGGCAGAGGCAGACGGATCACAAGGTCAGGAGATCGAGACCATCCTGGCCAACATGGTGAAACCCCGTCTCTACTAAAATACAAAAAATTACCTGGGCATGGTGGTGCATGCCTGTAGTCCCAGCTGCTTGAGAGGCTGAGGCAGGGAAATTGCTTGAATCTGGGAGGTGGAGTTTGCAGTAGGCTGAGATCGTGCCACTGCACTCCAACCTTGCGACACAGCTAGACTCCATCTCAAAGAAACAAAAAACAAAAGAACAGCCCTGGGTGGCTCCTGAACAAGGTCAGGTGATGCAGTGATGGGGCCTTCCTTCTCTGGACAAGGGACGCCAAGAACTGGGGAGTACTTGGTTACCACTGATAGCCTTCCTTGCTTCAAAATCTGTTATCTCCGACATTAATATTGGTATTCCTGCTTTCTTACAAATACTGGTAGCATGATATATTTTGTTTTATGCATTTACTTTTGTAACTTTAAATTTTTAATGTTTGTGGTTACATAATGTATATATTTATTGGTTACATGACATGTTTTGATACAGGCGTGCAATACATTAATAATCATGTCAGGGTAAATAGGGTCTCTATTAATTTATATGTGTGTTTTATTTAAAGTGCATTTCTTGTAGAGAACATATGGTTGCATTGTTTTTTTTCCCCAGTCACTCTGACAATCATTGTCGTTTAATTGGTTGATTTAGACCATTGACATTCAAAGTGAATAGTGATATAGACAGATTAATATCCATCATATTTGTTAATATCTTATAGCTGACACTTGTCTGTGTTCCAGTTTTTGTCACCTAATAGTTTTCTGTGTTTTGTGGTTTTAATAGAGCATTTTATATAATTTTCTCTCCTTTATTAGCATGTCAGTCATATTTGCTTTTTGTTTTTTACTTTTTTTTAATCCTAGGAATAAAAACTTTTATTTTCCATACTATTCATTGATCTCACGGATAACATATTCTTAAAAATAATGATATCAACAGTGTATTTGACTTGGTATGCTTATATATATATATGTTTGTGTCATATATACAAATTCATATACATAAATATATTTGCAAATATGCTTATATATATGTAAAATGAATGACAACAATGATGCAAAGAATGAGAGGAAGAATTCATATTATTCTCTTATTACAGGTAATCATA